CATAACCGAAAGTGGGGATGTGTGCTGTTGGTGGTGCAGATGGTGGTGACAGGATGGAGGAAGTGCCGTCATCTGCCTCTCCCCTTTCCCTGCATGCGATGCCTGTTGCAGCAACAACATTAACAGTAATTGTTTGAAGACGTCTTTGGTTGGTGTGCCACGGGAGAGTGGATGTTTTGTGGATTGAGGTTGTTGTTGTCGTGGCAATGTGTTGGTGGGCGTTGCTCGTTGAAGTAGACGGAGGTGATGCTCACGTGAGGGATAAGTGGTGAGTGAGCGAGTGATTGAGTGAGTGAGTGAGTGGGTGAAGGCAGTGTGGAGGGAATATAATGTGCTACTGAAGTGCAATCGAATTATCTGTCAATTTGGGCAGATGCTTGTTGCAGTCGCATCATGGTGGGAGGTGAGGGTGATTATGAAATGTTATCTCTTGATGCGTTGGAGGAGAAATGGTCGTAGTGCCGTCTGGGAGGTGTGACGTGGCACTGAGTCGATGTCCGCATCGCCTCTAATGTGTGGGAATGTGATGAGGTGATGGTAAGGAGGAGGGTGATGCGTTTTGATGGATGGACCTGTGTAAGCCACGTCGACAACCATGTGTGCTGCAAGTCGCCATTGCTAGGTGGTACTGGCGCCTGTTTGATGAGGCAGAGTAGGTGGTGTCGATGGGGAAGCGGACGCAATGAAGATGAAAGCAATCAGACAAGTATGTTGGCGTAATGCGAAGAGTGTTGGGAGGAGGAAGAAGTGTGGCAGTGCTGTTGCGACAATGCACGTGGTAATGGCGTTGACAGTGTGAATACGACAGCGGCTCCAATGTGTCATGAAGGAGGGGACGTCGTGTTCACTGCACAAAGTGGTGTGTGCAAGAGGAAGAGTGACGAGTGCTGAGAGACGGCGTCATCGTCTGGAGGAAGTGAGGGCGTGGGAGTAGTGCTGCGTCGAAATGTATCGTCGTCTCAGCCTTAGGGAGGTATTTCTTCCTTCTCTGCCTCTCATTCTCTCCCTTCCCCATTTTCGACTTGTTTTTCCTTCA